CGCATACTCTGAACTTATTACTGGTCTGCCACAATCATTTTGTAATCAATTACAATTTAAATTTTCTAAATAACGATGTTTCATCGTCATTGCTACAAAAGGAAATGTGCAGGCAGTCCCAGCACATCTGTTCAAAACAACTTTCAAAACATGTTCTTGTGGTTAATGCACTTCCTTCAAAAACAACTGCAATGCAAAGCACATGAGGAAAAGGAACAGTTTGCTCGGTGCCACTGAGGGGTTGTTTTTTTGTTGTTTTTTTTTTTTAAATCTGCACTGCTGTAACGTTTCAGTTGACAATTCATCACTTCACTCACAGGCCACTAATGGCTATCCAGCAGGTCAGGGCGATGCATGTGTATCAAGCTTTAAAGGAAATCAATGGCAGCTAAACATGAGGGAAATGAAGTGACCTAGATGAGTCTGTTTGATCCTATGTGCTCTTGTGCCTTGTGAAACGGAGCCCAGTCATCACAACACACTGTCTGTGGAAAAACGTAAACAAGCCGCAGCCTTTTTACAATCAGATCCACATGTGTATGACAGGATGTTGTACAGCCACAGGACATCCAGGTCAATGTCTGTTCATGTTTTGAATCCCACACCTGGGCCTATGCCTGATTTCCCATCTTTATTTAATACATTTAACGCTGTTAGAAAGAATGTTTTTACAGTACCGATCACTCATTGGGCATCAAGCAGCAGCAACTAACCAGATTAGTGACTTGCTGATGAAACCAGTAAAATATTTAGCAGCTAACCAGTCAAATTTTTCTGGACATCAAACCAGATGCAGAAGGAATTTTAGATTTATATGTCAGGTAACCACAGACACATGTCCATGTTGCTATGTGTCCAGTGTTAATAACAATAAGCAAACTGCACTGTCACAAAGTCCCCAAAACAACAATTCTGTATAAACTGTATTAACACTGTCTACATTTAGATGATTAATTATCTTCGCAACAATGTCCATTAAACAATACCAATGCATCAGTTGACCAGTAGCATTGGACTGGCGGATAATTAACTTCCAAAAAAATACATCAGTCTTAGACCATATGTTGCCTAGAATGTATCAGTATCAATATATGCAACACATGCTTCGGGGAAACTGGGTATAGTGTCACCATATTGTGTGTGGTACATGGTTGCCCTGATTTCTTTAAGCACTGTTTGCAGATCTATTTTTTTTTCCAATATTAACATTTCAATCAAATTAATCAATTATACTGGCCAATCACAAGGAAAAAACAAAAACAAATATGCCCTCTGCCCTACAATCATCAGATTTCAGTATTTGCATAGGGAGATAGATATGAACAGGATAATGGCATGATGGTAAAATGTATATTGTGCCCAGGCAGACAAATCTATCCACTGCTGCTAACACAACACCAGCTCTACAACGATCTACAAAAAACAAGCTAGCATAAAGCTATAACCTCACACCCAGAATGATGTTAAAGCTTAGCACATGGTGACCCCAGCCAAAAAACACAGTCTACTCGTACTCATTTCTGCAGTAGAATTGCAATTGTCACATTTTTCTGCAAAGTGTTCTTTGGGCTGGTTTTCACCAGTTAGCTTTCGTATTTAAGCTAATACTTACAAACGATAAGAAAGCTCTTATATGTGCATTCATTAGAATAGGGATTTATGCCAGTCTGTGAGTATCTGTTAACTGTAAACATCCAACAACAGAAAGGCCGCAGTAGATGAGGTGGCAGAATAGGTCATCTGCCAGTAAAAAAAAAAAGGTCACTGGAGCAATCCCTGGCTTCTCCAGTCCATATGTCAAGATTCTGAACCCCGAGTTTCCCCCGATGCATCCATTGGCGTGTGTGAGAATATCAGAGAGAAAAGTAAGAAACGCTTTGAGTGCTCAACTTGAGTAAATAGGTGCTATATAGGAACCAGTCCATTTCCTTTTTTATCTTTTTCTTGAGGTAAGAGACCAAATGTCTATTGGGACACTGAAAGCTGATTTGTGTCCATGTGCTTTGCCTTCCTTGACAAAAGAAATTTACAGATATACGGCTGCTAGGTCAATACTTTTGCAGTCAGACTGTTTGTGTAGTACAGGGCGATTAAAAACATTTCTATCCCACAGTGAATGAATAGGAGTTGCCATGGCAGCATGTTAACCACAACTCAATGAGCATACCCCACAGCAGAGTCGCTAGCTTCCCCCATAGCCCACATTTCTGTAATGAAAATGTCAGGCAGGGAGAGTGGGTTGCTGGGAGTCAGATCACAAAGCTCGACAGGATATTGAGCCCAGCTGCAAAGTAAATACAGTCCACTTAAATAAAGAAGGAGAGGGTACTGTCAGGTAGCTCTGACACACTGGGAAATGTTGGCTAAAAATCAACTTCCCGAGCCCCCATCAAGACTACGTAAGTCTCTATTCACAACTATGCACCACCCTATTCTTTTGTAATGTTTACAGTTCTGTGGCATGCAGGTGTTTCCAAGTGCAAAACCAACTAAATACTAGAAACAAATTGACAAAAGTAGTAGTAAATGCCATATTGTGAACCTTTTTCTCCCCATATTAGATCAAGATCTGGCAACATACCACCAGATGCCATGGTATAATAGTTTTATCAATTGCCTTACTAGATCTGAAAATAAGAAGAAAGTCCAAACACATAAGGAAATCTGAAATTATAAAATGCAAAAAATCATATAGGCATATCATGGCAATCTTCAGTCAAATTAATATATGCAAAAGGTTCATATTAACCTGACATGGCCAAGGCAGGAATCTGCTTATCCAACTAAGTGCAATTAAAGAGAGAAAATCTACATTATACAGTCTGTTTAATCACGGTCCTTAAGCAGCTATCCAACAGAACTGACAATGTTAATATGTTTAAGCTATCACTTAAGTTATGCTTAATATGCGATCGTGGCTCAAGAGTTGGGAGTTCGCCTTGTAATCAGAAAGCTGCCAGTTCGAGCCCCGGCTTGGACAGTCTCGGTCGTTGTGTCCTTGGGCAAGACACTTCACCCGTTGCCTA